CCTGCGTCATCGCCTCGGTGTCTGGCGAGGCCAGCAAGAAGGGGACAGTGTAGACCTGCTCCGAGAGCACCCGCTCGCTCTCGCTCCTGCAAGCACAGAGTGCAGTGCTGGGATGTGGACAACACAGAGGAACTCTGAGCTCCTGGGGCCAAGCGGAGGGTAGGGACTAGAGCCTTTAACCGAGCCACTTTCTGCCTCTCAAGTGGCCCCAGAGGACAGCGGTCTGGACCCAACAGTGCAAGCCCACCCCTGCTGTCCCCTCCCATCGCTCACCAGCTCCGGGCCAAGCTGTTCCAGATCAGCCGATGCTCTTTCAGAAGCAGTTTCTGGATCACGCCCTGCAGCCCCTCATGGTAATGGCTGGGCAGCGCAGCTTTGGCTGGCAGCACTATGCCTAAGGACGAAGGCATAGTGCCAAGACCATGGCTGAAGGAGGAGAGCCCGGCCTCTGTCCCTAGTGTGGGGCCGCAGGGTCTCTTTACCTTCCAGGGCAACATATGGCAGGCATCTCCCATCAGCCGCAGACACCAGTGCTGGTAAGTCGTCATCAATCTGGAGCTTCGGGGCCTCCTGGAAGAGTGGGGACTGAGCGTGAACACGGGCAGGGGCCGATGGGCTGGCAAGCAGAGGGTGGGTCGTGCATGGCTTTGTGGGGATCTCTGGCAGGATGTGACCCGCTTGCTCCTGGGCATCACGACATCAGCTGAGGATGCAGCAGGCTGCAGTCATCAGCGAGGTGCACCCAAATCAAAGGCTCTGGGCCAGGCAGTGTAGGGCAGTGGGGAAGGGACAGTGGGCAGGGGAGAACATCTGAGGGACCGGGCTACCTGTATGCGTGACACGACTCTAGCTTTCTTCCTGTACAGGTAGTAGAAGAGGCCGGAGAAGGCGAGGCTGGAGCCCAGACACAGCAGCTCCCCAGGCGTGATGGGCGGCGCGTCCATGGTGCGAGGCTCAGGCGGCACGCCTGCAAGGTGAGTGTGTTGGCTGGGTGATGGGCCCTTGTCGGCCCAGGGGCAGGGATGTCCCAGCAC